ATCGAATTAAACTGAATCGATGGCATGATAATCGTAGCCTAACTGAACCGTGAGACCAGTGTAGGTTCACACCCCTACTTACACATGCTTTTTCTGAATATATGTGAAAAACTCTGGTCAGATTTTATTTTAGAGAGCAGGCGTGAGGTTCAGCTGTTCATTTTCTGTCTGATTTAGGCTCAAACTGATACAGCTAACAGCTACTCTGACTGATAGTATTTACACAGCAGAGGCAAAACGCGTGCTGTGAGGCGTGGCGCTTCCTGGTGATGTGCAGCCGATCCATGAATCACAGCACATTATGTTAGCTGATCAATCAAAGCCTCTTGAGGGTAGGCCTTCAGAGGAATTAGGAAATATGACAGTCGTTTTCATGTTAGCAGAGTAGCTTAATATAATTAAAGTAAGATATATAAAAAAAAATAACATGATTTTCTACAAATGAAGCATGAGCACACAATGCTTTGCATCTTATAAACACAACCAAGCCCTTAAAATACACTCTGCATCACCCCTTCAACTTCCGTTTCATGACCAATAAAAGATTCACAATAAAACCATGAATATAATTAGCCATTTTTCTGTTCCTGGCTGGAATAAACTGCAGAACAGGGAAATTATTCACATATTAACAGTTTGTGGAGATATTGTAGTTAGAAAATGTATGTTATCCTTCTGATTGAGCAAAACAGCGTACATAGCATACTGTTTGCCTCAAAACTAAAATACATGCTCTCAAAACCAACAACAACAACAACTGTCATTTAGAATTCATGCGACCTTTAAAGTAGACAAGAAAAAACTAATAATAAAATAATACAAGACAAACAGGTAAATCAATCTGATAATGACAGTGTAATTGGAACCTGTCTGCGTGGATCTTGCCGCTGCACTGTTTGTACATAAAGCTGGCTCTGTATTCAGATCAGAAATCTAAAACTCCATGCAAATGCGAGTGAAACAGATTAGAAAAGGTCACAATTCAAATGAAAGCATAATAGCCTTTTGCAGTCCGCTGCCATTCATAAAGATCAGGGATGATGAGTCTGCAGCTGTTCAGTTTAAGTACTTTGTACTGCTCATTTCAGATAAAACAATGCCTCATGAATATGGAAACTGAATGAGAAAACAGACATTTCACATTATGATTAATATGCATAATATTCCAGACAACACTACATATTGTCACTGAACACAAAGACCAGACGCAAAATAAGCGCAACCTGCATGATGAAACAACAACAAAGAAAGGACAGTGACGCTTTGCCTCTTATCTCTGAAATGATGCAAATTGTTGATGGGCAAATTGTCAGCGTTGTGTGCCTCTCGGTGTGAGTCACATAAAACAAACAATGAGCACAAAAACAAGTGTCATGAAAGCAACAAAACTGTGAAACCTGACACAAAAGTAGGCTTTTATGCTAGTATAAAGCACTCTAGTTTTTTTAAGGTCTCCTTCAATTGGTGTACATCCCCCAAGGTTAAAAAACATTTTAATTATTGTTTTAATATTTATTGCAGCATTAGCTCTTTTCCAACCCATAATCATTCTGAAAACTAAACGCTACATACGTTTCTGGAGAGCGCCAAATATGTCTCAGAAGCTATGTCTTTTTGCAGTTTTTGTTTTCACATATCCACCAGAGGCCGCTGTGTATGCTTTTTGAGATCTCAAATTTCTCTCATGAGTGCCATTCGCTCCTGCTTTTCTCACGTAAATCGACTAGGGGTAGCTATGAACTGACTGACCGATCAACTGGACCACCCTCCTCCTTCCCTAAACCCAACCAATAGTGTTTTCAAAAGCACAGATTGACCTGCCCACCAACTTCCATAAAAAGAAAAGCCCTCGTCTGATTTTTACCACATTTTCAGATTTTACCACATTCTCACCCTGTTATTTACTTGTTTATTTTATTTTTTGGCTTTTGTTTTGTGTCTTTTTGTTCTGAAACCGTTCCTTCGCCAGACTCGAACCCTATCATCGCGATCAACTCCTCTCTGCATCTCAAGTCCGCCAACATACATGGTGAGCTACTGGACAAACTGGTAACAGCGGGCAAGCAGTCCATACGGAGGTAAGCGGTCAGCTGGTAAGCGCGAAAAGGAACAGTGTCATACCGCTCCGTAGCGTTCATCTGGCTGCATAATTCACAATCTCCAGAAGTGTATATAGGTCTACGCTTTCAGAATGAGCCTATGTTGCTCTTTTTTCATAATGTTGGTTTAAAAATTAATTATCCCTAAACTGCCTTCCTGAGAGCCTACTCTTATTGGCACAAGTCTGTTGGGATTGGTTGACCACAACAAATACTGTGTCAAAAATTAAACCATCATTACCATATTTATTTGAAATGCACAATATGTACATATTTATTTTGCATGTATTATTTTCATTTAAATATCCAAAACTAGAACAGCATTATACATTTTACTGATTTATGTACTTACTTTAACCCACGTTTTGAAAAATGTTCAAATCAAGAGAAGCAAGCCATTTTAATTAGTGAGATGGAGAGTGTGCTATTATGCATTTATTATTATTATGAGTCTTTATTCATTGATATTAACCTTAACCTTGTTTTGTTGTTCCTGTTCTTGCCCTGTCCATAAAGTGAAACAATACTGTGCACTGAGTGAGTGGCTGCATTTGAAATCCCATACTTCCCTACTATATAGTATGTGACCTAAGTAGTATGTCTCAATCAAGCAGCAATCTCCTGCTGTCCCTCATGAAGTAAATACGGAAATAACTAAAACTGCAATTCATAGAAATTCCGCTAGTCCTTTCTGTTAAAAGAACCAACTTACCAGCAGGAAAAAAGATGTTTACAGCCTGGTACAAAGAACTCTCTTGGTTCATATAGCTAATACTACCCTTCATGACTGTGATGGGGTGATTATTTTTATAACTCATTTGTTTTGTTTATTTTAAGTTATATTACGTCCGCATAATTAAGGGCTTGGCCACTTGAGTGGCAGCTAGGTCTCTCTGATTGCCGTCATGTCACCTAAGCTGATTCCAGCTGATTAGCTGCTGAACTCGACATATACATCGTATTTTTGTTCTGTTTTATGTGGCTTTACACAATCAATTGCCTTTTGGAAATATTTCTTACAATTATCAGATAATATGGCATGCTTTGTGCACTTAATTGTGCTCACAAACCACGTGGCCTCCATTTCCCAGGTGAGTGAAATTGTATACTTGTATACCATCTCTATAAATGCATTTGTTTTAGGATCATTTATCATTTATATTTATATTTAGAGCTGTAATGCACTCCAGAATCTGCCAGACTGATAAGCGGTAGGCTCTAGAACAGTCATCTGAAATGTTGTAATACAGTGTTATGCCTGGATTTCATAATTAGCCTGGTATTTACGAACACAGACTATATTTGAAGTGTTTGGAAGAAATTTGCGTTTTCCTCCTGTAGAAAAACGTCATAAGAACAATGCTTAGAGGCTTAATGTATTTCAACAGTGTTTTTAAAAGTCTAAACACTTTATTGGTATAGTACACAACCAAGCACATGTGGTCAGAGGTATTAAAGAATTAAACATTTCTCCCAAAGAAAAGCCTGTCTAAACAAAATGCTAGCAGACGTCTGTAGCTCCGCTCATGCTCTGCCTCTCGTCCTTGTTTGGTACCTCCCGGTCGGTGCAATGATGCGCAAACTAAATGGCAACAGTTGGTCACGCTTACTGGTAGCTTCTTTCACATTCCTCAGAAATCTATGAGCAACGACATGAATACTACGTCTATATCTGTTCCAGTCTATAGTCTGAATTCGCAATATTTTTAATAACAGCCTGGCGAGATTCTGTAGTGTGCATCCAATGGATGATTCACTGTCCCACAATGCCATGTGAGAGAATTCCTGAATTTGAGTGAAGCCATGTGACTGACGTGGGTAGGTCGTGTAATAATGACAAATCGCGGATGTAATACATACAATTTCCATTCATACTACTTACATTCACATATAGAACATACTTTTCTAATGATCGTGTAGTAAACTCTAGTAAAAATGTAGCACCTACTTTAGTAGGCGATTTCAGACACAGTGCACGTGTCTATGGTGCTTATAAGTGTGTCTGTAAATGTCTTGCAGGTGAGAATCCAATTAGAGTCCAGGTAATCTGTACCAGGTGTGTGTGTGTAATGAATGCAAATGATTGTGAGGGCTGTAGTCCAGGTGGCTGGTGGAATGTATGGATAGCTGGAGTGCCCGCTAGTGGATCTCATGGGCATTCCAGCTGATAACTGTGAACATATGTCATGTTTTGATGATGGTGCGGCTTACTTGGATGATCAACTGAGTCGCTATTAAAAAAGTACCACGTACTAAATATGAAACACAGTGGAAAAGCCCCCAAAAGTGAGCCAAACCACGTCATACTATGCAGTGGAAAAGCGGATTTATTTGCCTGCTTAGCACCTTTAAAAACATCAACAAATCATAGCTAAAGTTAACAACAAGACATTGACTTCCATAAAGATTGTTTTGCTTAGGGATGCACCTATATGGAATTTTCGGCAGATACCAATAACTCTTAATATTTGGATGCTGATAGTAGATTTATAGGCAGATAAATAAATATAAATTTTCATATATCTCTGGATGAAAAAACAAAAGGCCAAACACATACAGAGAACAGATAACTGTCTTAAAACCTTAACTTCAGAACTATCTAAACAAGGGGTGCACAAACTCAGTCCTGGAGGGCCGTTGTCCTGCAGTGTTTAGCTCTAACTTGCCTCAACACACCTGCCAGGACATTTCTAGTAAACCTACTTAGAGCTTGATTAGCTAGCCCAGGTGTGTCTGATTGGGGTTGGATCTAAACTATGCAGGACACTCGGCCCTCCAGGATCGAGTTTGGGCACCCCTGATCTAAACGGATCTCTGAAGTTTATTGATTAGCTATTCATTTCTACGACCAATTTATTTTATATCAATAAAATATTTTTTTATGAAAGTTGCAGGACTTACCATGAGTTTTCTCCATGAAGATCACCTTTGAATCTGCGCTGAAGTTCTGGCCGGTGAGGATCATCTGCTGCCCTCCAAGAACCGAACAAGCATCCATGTCCTGCTTTTCCACCATGGGCAGCTCATGAGCAGATCTTTGAGCTATAGAGTCAAATATTAGGAAACGGAAAATGTAAATGTTCGGACTGACTTTAAAACTGTAGCCTTGAGAAAGCCACCCGTGTTTGCTCCATGAACTATTGATTCCTGAATCAGTAACTCATTTTGGATGAATAAATGACCAGTAAAATGCTCCCTAAAATAGTTTATAATATTTATGTCAATAGCCTTTAAACTTTTTATGGTCTACCCAATTGTCAAGAAAATGTTGTGTTTTAGCAATTGTATATACAATTTAATACAGTATAAATATATATATATATATATATATATATATATATATATATATATATATATATAGTTTTTTTTTTTTTTTTTTTTTTTACATATTCATGTAAATACATGTCAGAATAAGTCTGGGGATTCCAAATGTCATCTTTCCAAATAGGGAGAGAATTTTGCAACCACAATATTGGTACTATTAGTCTATCATTACCTAATACTGCATGGTTTTTGGGGCATTTTTTCCAGACTGTCATATGACCAGCTTTTCATGACTTCAATAAAGCTTTTGATCCTTTTACACTAAATGATGCTGAAAGTCCCCGGGTTATTTCAATACTTGAGAAAAACTATGAGACTTGGTTCTCTAATTAACTTGATTTTTAATTTATTTTGTGAAGATATGTAAAATCAATCTTTATCATTGGGCTAAATGACAAATGTGCTCACTGGAATATTATTTCTCCCATATTTTGACATTTTATTTATACAGATGTTGGTTGAAAAATTCTGTCTGTCTGTCTGTCTGTCTGTCTGTCTATCTATCTATCTATCTGTCTATCTGTCTGTCTGTCTGTCTGTCTATCTATCTATCTATCCGTCTGTCTGTCTGTCCAAACAATCCGACTATACATTTGTCTATTCATTGTCCGTCTGTCTGTCCAATTCTATCTATCCATCCATCCATCCATCCATCCATCCATCCATCCATCCATCCATTCATCCATTCATCCATCCATCCATCCAACTAAAATATACTAAAACACATTGATGTTAATCGTCGCTTGGTTCAAGTTGCAGCTGAATGAAGCATGAAATAACACAAAGTACTTCTAACTATTATGTTAGTATGCGTGTTATGCAGCAGATCTTAAAGGATTCATAATTTAGCTCAGGGGATTCTTATAATTTGGATGTGCATTGAAAAGAAAAAGGGTTTTAACTAGGAATATTAGATTAAATTACCATGTCTACTTCAAACTCACGCTGAGCCATGTAAACAAACAGATGGGGTGATCCAGCATATTAAACACCCTCTTTATTGACTTTTCAAGATGATGAAGTTTGTCATCACGTTATTAAGGATGTGAACTCGTATGATCTGTGATTTAATATCTGCTACAGCCCCTGTCATTGAGACAAATAGGAGTGACCTTTGGACAGATGCGCGGCATTCTGTAATCTGAATTACCGAAAAGTACGCTGCACTCTTAGATAATACAAAATCTAATACCTTTTAACAACTATAACTTCCTTTTAGTGAATTGCTATTTATCTGGTTTATTGTAAATTCTTTCCTCTTTTTTTAAACACTGTTGACTGTAGTTTGCATCAAGCAAAAACTAACTGAGGAGGAAGCAGAGCAAACACACAATGGCATAAATTCTTGTAACATATAATCACATGATATCTGATAAGAGCATAACAAATATTCAAATAAAGCGATCAAATACTCAAAGCTGAACAGATATAACTAGATATTACCCTATTACTACTATATTATTACTATTCATTCGCTAAAACTAAGAAATTAAAGACACATCGAAAACAACTTTGATTATTATAACTATTATTATTATTTTATTTCATTATAATTAGGACTAGGCGACATTGCAAATAAAATTTTATGATATCATGTTTCATATCAATCAATATCGATAAATATTGATTATTTTTTTAACAATACATTTAGGAATATTTGGATTTTTTTATTTAACCACTTTATTTTAATTTACCAACATTACTAAGGTAAATAGTTTTAATAGTCAAAAATAAAAAATATTTAAACAAAATATCTGATCTCTTTATAATAAAACAAACATAAGTGTTAAAGAGACCCTTAAACTTGATAAATAAGATGTTACAAAGTGTGTGCTATGGTAAAGCGTAAAAGCTGAACAATCAAAGCAAACTTTAGGGTGTCAATAATAATGATACAGTAATCCTCGCACACTGTCAACAACAAAAATTATCATAATCAAATCGGAACCAGCCATCATTATTCAAATAAAGTTGAATAACTATATTACCCCCTATGCTAAAAACTCTTTGGAAGCTAGTGACTGGGATGCACAGGAAAAGAAACCATAAAGCCACTCTGGTGACATCCTTAAATCCTTTGCATTTACAATCTCCTCGCTGCTGCTATACAGCACTAATTTTCATATGTGTTGTTATTCTGACCTAAAGTGACAACAAGCGCATGCGCGTGGATTCCTTGACCATTTACAATGGACTTTACACTCTGTGCCCTGGTGTCTCTTGTAATTAGATGCCTAGCAACGGTTTTGTCAGAGTATGACAAATGGACAAATCATTGCTGCGGCTCTGGTGCAAGTTTATGGAGAAAAGTAAAAACCGATGCAGTGTTTGGGTGCGATGTGTTTGTCTGAGGTAATTAGTCTGATTATTGAAATGTGTGTATTTTATAAAAAGTGTGAAACAGATTGGTTAGTTCTACTTAAAAGGTTAGATGTTTTTAGCTAGGTGTAGCTGGAAAATGCATGTGTCGATCCCATATACGCATCGTGCAAGTTGCACGCCTCCATTGGAAATGATTACATCCTAAGTTTCCAAGTTGGCACTGCTTCCAAGGCATGTGCTGAGCCGCCACATTTTAATAAAGCTATAGCCTTCATACCAAAACTACATACCAAATCTTTTTTTAGACGTTATCAGTGGTGTTCGGTCAATAAATACCGATACAGATTTTATCGCCCAGCCCTAATTTTTAATACTATTGTTTAATTAGTTGATTATTGATTATTTTCCTATTATTTAATTATTGATTGTTAAAATTGATTATTGATTATTGAAATTATTTGATTATTAATTTTACTGCTGTGCATATCAATGATTTATCCATATACTGCATTCTTTAATTATGTCATACTTTGTCATCCAAATAACTTTCAATCTATTTTAATCACTTAACTTCCTCTAAAAGCTGAATAAACAAATGAAAACTACTAATTACCTTATGAAATGCAGATAGCTAATAATACTTCGATATCAATACCGATTTTATCGCCCAGCCCTGATTATTGTTTAATTAGTTGATTGTTGACTATTTTACCATTATTTGATTATTAATTGTTGAAATTGATGATTAATTATTGAATTTTTTTTGATTATTGATTTAATAAAATACTGCAGTGCATATCAATGATTTATCCATATACTGCCTTCTTTAATTAACTTTCCCTCATACTTTGTCATCAAAATAACTTTCAATTAATTTTAATGACTTAATTTCCTCCAAAAGCGGAATAAAAAAAAATTGAACTACTGATTAATTTATGAAATGCAATTAGTCAATAATATTTTGATTAATAAGTTATATACATCCGTATTTATTGCAACTGCAGTCACAATAAGAAAAAAAGTTGTTATGATCGCCAGCGATCTAGCATTTGCAGATCGCTGGAGAACTACACATCTGCCTCTGACATGAACTAGAACTCCCAGAAGTCTTTGCACTTATCACTCCTGTCACAGCTGACAATCATTCAGACACTGACATGCGCAGGCACGCACACACAATCGCAGCTGAAGCTCATGATTGACTGATTACTTGGCTATTTATACACCTCACATTCTCACACACTTTGCTAAGTCTTGTTTTCCTTTGTAAGCATTATGCAAGCGTTTCCCTTGTCTTGCCCTACCATGTTTTTTAGTCTTTGTTTTGTTTTTTTGTTTGTTATGTTGCCAGTGACTTTGATTGATTTGGATTACCTGCATGCTGCTGTCTGTCCCTGTTTTGACCTTTGCCTGCCTGACCATTCTCAATAAAGCTGCATTTGGAGCTGCATCTCTGTACCAACCTGACTCATTACAAGCTGATTTAATGAGGAAGTTTCATGCTCATTTTAATCTGACTTTGACATTTTGGAATATAACTGTACTCACAGCATTCAATAGGATGTGAAGCAATTTGTAGAGACAGATACTGGCCGCTTTGCTGGGGAATATGAACACGGAATACCAGTCGTACACGCGTGTTTTTCCTGCCGATATCCGTCTCTCCTTTCCGCAGCTCGATGTCGGCATTGCGAAGCTTGAGAATCCCCGCACAGTCAATTCTGGAAAGCATTACAACATGTTACTATTCACATTTAAAACCTTGTACATTAACATGAAAATTACATATTAACTTAAATGATTAAGCTTAGTCTCATTTTAAAGAAGACAGATGTCAGACTGTAGCTCAAGTGAAAAAAGTTCAAAACAATTTAATAAAACAAAAGTTATGGCTTTACATAAGCAAAGGTTTATTAAAATAATTAAACAATAAATGTATATTTTATTATATTACATAAAATATGTATTTTACTAATCTAATTTAAGTCCTAAATTGACAGAAAGCTAAATTTCGAAACAAATTTCTTTGGGTGCAGTACCAGACATCACCACATCCAGTTTCCATTGATGACCATATAAGAGCGCCCCCATTCCTGTGTATGCTTTGAAGGAAATAAACCATACTTATTTACATTTCTAACATTATTAGTAAACATCAAATTCTAATGTACAATGGGCAGTTTGGTGGTATTGTAATGTATTTATATGTGGACTGCTGTAGCAAAGTAATGGTTTTTTATGACTCTGATGAGTATCCTTATGCAAATTAATAAATAATTATTGCTAAGTACTACCTATTTTTTTGAATGATATAAAGTTTGTCATGATTGATTCTTGTTTAGATTACAATATTATGGTTTAATTAAAACTGTAACTGCAAACAGTGCCACAAGTGGGTGACAAAAATTCAATTCAATTCAATTCAGCTTTATTTGTATAGCGCTTTTACAATGTAGATTGTGTCAAAGCAGCTTCACATAAATGGTCAGAGTAACTGGAACAGTGTGGTTCAGTAACTGGAACAGTGTGGTTCAGGTTTTAGTGTTTAAGTTCAGTTCAGTTCAGTTTAGCTCAGTTCAGTGTGATTTAATCATTACTGAGAGTTCAAACACTGAAGAGCAAATTCATCGATGCGTAGTAGCCTTTTGATCTATTACTCATCCAACATAACAAAGAAATTTAAATAATAATGGCAAAATATGTATTCACGAGTCTTAGACCTTTCAAACAATACATAATTTGTCATGATTGGTTTAGGATGTAACTGCAATATAGTGAAGTAAACATAAACAGTTGAGGGAAAGTTTACCTAAAACTTTCAATCTGTTAACCCTTTTGTTTTTATTTCTTCAGAAGAATATTAATAGAAGATTTTTAGCTGAAATCATGGTCCTTGGTGAAAATTTACCGCCATTTTGAGAGTAAAAAAACATACATAGGCAAAAATAATAATAATACCCACAACTTTTGATAATATACTGCAGTATTATGAAATGAAATGATGGTTTTGTACAAGAAAGTCAATATTATTTATAACATAATCACCACTGACCCATATATTTGACAAATATGCATTGTCAGAAACCAAGGATAATAATTTGGTTTTGCCTGTATGTTTTTTTTAACTCTCAAAGTGCTAGTAGCTGCTGATTTGCACTTTGTGAATAACTGTCAATTAAGAAATAAGTTTATCTTTACATATAATAAATATAATAAATAGCCATTTTTATTTATTTTTTGGTGAACTGTGCCTTTAAATACTTACATGTGCTCAAAGAATAATAATTTGTAAGGATTACTTACATTGCTTTCATGTTATTCTTTGGCTCGAGGGGAATTTCCAGAACTTTGGTACCATTAACTATCTTCTCATAGCTGGTGGTGGTGACTGTTTTACCAGTTATGCGATGGACTTGATAGAAAGCGTGAGGTTTCAGGATTCGCTCGTCTGCTGTGCCAATGAAGATCTGCAAACCCAGCGGCTCCTTGCCTCTGTATCCACGTAACTGTACACAGAAAAACATAAAGAAATAGTTGATTGCTAAACCTTATGGTACAGGCAGGGATTAATCTAAATAATCAGTTATCGGTATCACCAAATATCACACTTAATTACTGGAATAAATTGTCAACTTTAAATATTGGAACAATATTTTATTGGCAGATTTCACTCTAAATAATCGGTTATCCATTTCAGCCGATATCACTAAATAATCGGTTATCCATTTCAGCCGATATCACTAAATAATCAGTTATAAGGTTTCAGCTGATATTACTCAAATGATCTGTTATCTGTTTCAGCCGATATCCCTAAATAATCTGTCATGTGTTTCAGGAGATATAACTCTAAATAATCGGTTATCGGTTTCAGCCAATACCACTCTAAATATTTTTTATTTGTTTCAAGAAGATATCACTATAAATAATCGGTTATCCCTTTCAGCAGACCTAACTCAAAATAATCGGTTTTCAGTTTCAGCCAATATCACTCTAAATAGTTTTTTTTCTGTTTCAAAAGATATCACTCTACATAATCGGTTATCTTTTCAGTCAATATCACTCTAAATAATCGTTATCGGTTTAAGCTGATATCACTCATAATAATTAGATATCGGTTTCAGCCAATATCACTCATAATGATTGGTTATATGTTTCAGCCGATATCACTCCAATAATGGGTTATCTTTTTCAGCCGATATCACAAAATAATTAGTTATCTGTTTCAGCCTATATGAATAAATAATCTGTTACCTGTTTCAGCCAATATCACTCTAATAATCTGTTATGCGTTTCAGCAGATATCACTCTACATAATCGGTTATCAGTTTCAGCCAATATGAATAAATAATCTGTTACCTGTTTCAGCAGATATCACTCTAAATAATTGGTTATCTATTTCAGCCGATATGAATAAATAATCTGTTATCTGTTTTAGCTGATATCACATTAATAATTGGTTATGTGTTTCCGCAAACGTCACTCTAAATATTTGGGTATCTGTTTCAGCAGATATCACTCTTAAATAATCAGTTATCTGTTTCAGCTGATTTGAATGAATAATCTGTTATTGGTTTTAGCCGTTATCACTCTAATGATCAGTTATCTGTTTTAGCTTATATATCTGTTTCAGCCAATATCTCTCTAATAATCAGTTAACTGTTTGAGCCGATATCCCTGTAGTAATGGGTTATCCATTTCAGCCAATATCACTAAATAATCTGTTATCAGTTTCAGCCAATATCACTCTAAATAATCAGTTATCTGTTTCAGCAGATATCACTCTATATAACTGGTTATCAGTATCAGCAGACATCACCCTAAATAACTGGATATTGGAAGAGGAAATGTTTCTCTAGATAGTGTTGCAAGATAGCAGATATTATTCTAAATATTCAATTATCGCTATTGACTGTGAAATTGAGTATTGGTCCCTTGCTTTTGCTGACTGTAAATGATCTGCATCTGGGGAAAAAAGCCTCGTCTTTTTTATTTATTTTTTGTGTAAAGGTCTGCTCTTCTGCTCGGAAAGCACAGATCTGCTGGAAACATTAGCATCTCCAGAAACCTTGAACTCTAGCCAGAAGGATGAAAACATCTTCTCTTCACTGATTCATCTCCTCAAAATCTGCAGGAAACCCATCAGTCACATATGAGCTCAAACTGTAGCAGGGTTTGTGGCCTATGGGTCCTTCCAGTGTCATTTGATTGATCGTGAAAGATAAATTACATACTCAAACTCCAGACGTAATGAGTTTGTTGCCTGTGTGCAAAAGCTACAGTCTGTTCATTTTGCAATCTTAGCACAAAATGAAACTACATACTTATTTTGATCTGCACTTCCTTTAAATATATAAAGCAACAAGTGATCATACGACATTTTAAATGATTCAAAATACATGTTGACAAATGAGTAAAAACATAGTGGTTTAAAGGGTAGCGATAACAATTATTTAGTATTATTATACAGTATAGTATATTAGTATAAATAATTATTATTGTGCTATATGAAGTACTAATACACTGAATGATATGTCACTTGGTGTCTTCTGTAGACTTCTGCAGTCATTCATGGTTGCTGTGAAATAATATAAAATAAAACTGCAAATATTCCAATGCACAATAATTTAGCATTTTATTTTTTATTGTTTTGATGCTAGAAACCCCATTTTATCTTTGACATTTATGCAGATGAACACAGGATTGTACAAATGTATCTTAGTTTTCCTGCACTAAAGGTTAATAATTCAGAGCTTTCAAATCATGCTCAACACAGAGGCAAATGCGGCAGATTTTCATATGCAAAGCATGGCATGTCCAATGAGAAAAACAACTATGGCTTTGCCATTTTGTTGAAGATGAACAAGATATGGTGCACAACAAAACAGCCTTTATCATGCTAACCTTCCAACTTAATGTATTTTGCTATGCATTATATATGCATTTAGTTCCACTTTTAAAAAATGTAAGTTTCCTAAATGGACTGTTTTAAGTAATTATTGTCCCATTTACTTTCAATGGGGTAGGGTTGGTACTGGTAATTCTCAGTTGCCTTATATATTTAATGCAAATTTATATTCAAAAATAATTTCCATTAATAATAAATACAAGTTTTTTTTGTATGTGATTCTTGTGTCATTTCAAAATGTTGATATATATATATATATAGAGAGAGAGAGAGAGAGAGAGAGAGAGAGAGAGAGAGAGAGAGAGAGAGAGAGAGAGAGTTGAAGTCAGAATTACAGAATTATTAGCCCCCCTGAATTATTAGAACGCTTGTATATTTTTTCCCCAATTTCTGTTTAACCTAGGAAAGATTTCTTCAACACATTTCTAAATGTAATAGTTTTATTAACTCATTTTCAATAAAGGATTTATTTTATCTTTGCCATGATGACAATAAATAATATTTTACTAGATAATTTTAAGACACTTCTATACAGCTTAAATTGACATTTAAAGGCTTAACTAGGGTATAGGGTAACTATGCAGGCAATGGTAATTAGACAAGTTATTCTGTAACGATGGTTTGTTCTGTAAAATATCAAGAAAAAATATAGCTTAAAGGGGCTAATAATTTTGTCCCCAAAATGGTGTTAAAAAATTTAAAACAGCTTTTATTCAAGCCGGAAAAAAAACAAATAAGACTTTCTCCATAAGAAAAAAATATTACAAGACATACAGTGAAAATTTCCTTGATCTGTTAAACATCATTTGGAAAATATTTAAAAAAGAAGAAAAGAATTCAAAGGGGGCTAACAATTCTGACTTTAACTGTATATGAAAAGGAGGTGTTTTAATAGGTCAGGCAGGCCAAAAAGCTAAACATCACCCAAAACCTTTCCATTAAATCAACCAGCAGTCATCTAACTAAGGGAAAAGGCCCTGCAATTAGAGATAAATGCGTAGCTTAAGGGCTCTTTGATGACAGAGCAGCAATGATCTCTGAAATACACTTTACTTACATTACATTTAGCAGACACTTTTGTCTAAAGCCAGTTACGATTGAAGAGGCATTCAGCGATTCAACAAAAAGAGGCAGGCAATACACACTAATTACAAATTATAGTTAGAATTAGTTATAATTAGTACACTAAATACTAATAATATAATAAATAAATAAAAAATAAATATTTATAAAATAATATTATATAAATACATATTTATTTATATGAGCAATTCCAGCGTTATGGATTTGACATTTGCAATAAAAGTTAAAAACATAAATTTGCATAAAAAGTAAATGTTAACATTATATTGAAACATCTGTTTATATTTTCCAGAACTACTGACCACAGAGTTATGGGGTCAGACAAATATCAATCTGTAAACATGTTTTATATTTTAAATGCGGAAAATAAACATGTTTTACAGTATACAACACGCTTTGTAGAAAATCTGTGAATTTAACTGCACACCCCAAAAGAAATAAAAAATAATCAAAAGGAGAAGAGTTGAC